ATTCATTCATGATTCGGGTCTAAATGACTAACTGGCAACTCTAGGACTCATGAGGTTGCTATTTACGAGCATTCATTCATTTCCTGGAGTACTTTCCTGTAATAAAACTGGAAGAACATTTTAAAATTTTATTTTACTACTTTTAAAAATGTTCGTCTTGAATAAATGTTTAATCACTACGTTGTTTTTTAAGAACACATTCTTTTGAGAGAAGTGTATATTTTATGAAGGCCAGATAGTTTGCGTAAAAAATTGTTTCGCTTATACAGGATTTCCATAAAGTTTGTGTGCACTTTAAAAAAATTATAACTTTATTTGTATTTGCGATAGAAATAATTTCTAAAAAGGATTAGAAAGAAGTAAACCTATATTTTTTAAGGTTTTATTTAAATTTTATTTAAGTTTCCACATGTCCTCCATCATTAGCAATACAAAGGGTAATACGATTTTGCATTACACGGAAAACATTTACCAACTGATTTACAGTAATGCCTGAAATCACATTAGTTATTTTAGCTATACTTAAAACTAGGTACAGTAAAAGTTATAACATATTTATAGATTATTTCTATCGCAAATACAAATAAAATTATAACTTTTTTAAAATGCACATGAACTTTATGGCCACCCTGTATATCTTTTTTTCGGCTCAGCGGTTGGAAACCGCCAAAATTTTGAAAGATCCAATTCAAGGTTTCGGAAATTATTTTTTTGTATTTTGTGGCCAATGAGAACCGTTCTCACACAGCCTTGTGAAAACTCGGGTGGAGCCTTCTGTGCGCCTAAATTTCTGAATAGAGCCCCGGTTATTGGACCAAGGGAGAAGACATTTTAACAGATATTGGACACAGCAACTCAACATCAACGAGCAGATGGCATTTGACATCAAGAAGAGAGCAACAAGAAAGTACAAGGTTAAAAAGCCAACTGCAGAGAGACTAAAGAATTTTGAAGTTCAAATGAAAATTCTCCTGTGTTTGGATAACAAAGAACGAAAAAGAATTTAAAGAAAGTTTTCCAAGCACGAACATTGTGAATTTAATAGGGACTTTTCAAAAATTACGTTCGTGAGTTAAGTAAAAGTAGGTGTATTTTTTTCTCAAAGGTAGTTGCACCTTTGGTTTTTACTAACTTCTTGAATTCTTTTTCTAAATCCTTATATTTTCCAGAACTGTAATTATTTTTCCATTTTTCGATGCTAATTCTTTTTATTATAATTTTTATCCTACCTTAATAGGTACACAAAAAGAATTTCTGCAAATTTTATATTTTTACCTTTTTCGTACTTGTGTAATAAATGTTTTTCTTTAAAATTTACGCAGTATTTGAGTTTTGTTTTGTAATTTTGTATTTGTCACAAGAACTTAAATTTGGTAGGGATTACAATTTTTTATACCAAGCACAAGGCAGGACTATGTTAGACTGCATATTCTCGATGAGAAACTAGGCGAAATATTGTGACAGGTTGGTGCAACTTCATTGGGCACGCATTATCATACTGTTCAAAAATATTAAATCCAAGATGTGTTATAGATCTATTTTTTCTTTATATTCATAATCTAATAGATTTCTTTTTATCGTTTTGGGATACGATTAGATTAAAAATAAAGAGAAAAAACTACCTTCCTGAATTTATAGGTTTAGGATATGTCATTATATCTATGATCTCTACTTGATATATTGTCAATATCTTTGTCAATATCCCAATATTTCGATCGTTGTGCCTTTTGGCCTTCTTTCATTGCTTGTCGATCCCGATAGCATTCAGGGAAGTTAGAACTGAAACTTTCATTTAACCTCTTCACCGCTAATTATTTTGGCGAAAAAAAACTTATTATTTTCAGACGAAATTTTTATTTGTTTTTAATATAGTAATTAAGAAACCAAGGTACTTCGAAGTACCCGAGCAGCGGGTAACACCTTGAGTAGACGTGTGTCCTCACACCTGAACACGTTTCAAGCTCAGAAGGGCATAAATTTAATCAACTTTGACACATAAACATGTCGGTAACTGGTTTTTGAATGGTATGTCTTAGACGTGTTTATTCGTCTGTGTCTGAAATAGTCACTTTCGGTAAAAACGTATAGAGATGTCTACACTGGTAATCGATGGGAGTAGATTGTTCTGTCGAGGAAGAATAGGGAGAATTTAAATAAATAATCTTTTCCTGATTGCTACCGGGATCGAAACAGCAGAAGCCCTGAACGCACAACGGGCGAAATACTAACAACAAAGATAAGGACGATAGTTCGAACGTAAGTAAATATAGATAATATAAAGTACTATTTTAAAATGAATATTCCTGTTTTTTTTTTTACTTATTTCGCGTGCGCGGTCGAGCAGCTTTTTTCCGCCTATTAACGGTTAGAAGTTTTTGTCAACAGACTTGTCGTATGGAGAAGTTCAGACCAGATGTCAACTTTATAAATTTACATCAGATGTGTTAATTCGTCCTTTTGTTAGGAAAGCCAATATTGACAGAATAATTTTAAGAAACACCTGCAAACAAAACTGAAAGGTTATTTATCAGGAAGTAATTATATTGTTCTTATTAAAAATATGGCTAGCAAATAAATGTATTATCCATCTACGGCTTTAATCTGATTTTACCATGTGATCTTACCATCTAAACCTGATCTAAATTACACAGATCTAGAAAAAGGGATCGTTTTTGTTTTTTAACTGATCATTGCATTTGTGTGATAATTTTGAACAATTTTAGGAGAAAGGATCTAAAAATAACATTAATTTCCTAGTATGAACTTTAATTCAAGTCCTCCAGTATAGCATACCCGATGTAAAAAATGGCCATGATCGAGTTAGGTCACTTTAAATTTGTAAAAAAAAATAAATACTAATTTGCAGGCGAAAAATAACCTTAGGGTGAAATAAAATCCCAACTGAAGAAATACGAAATGATTAAAATGCGAATCTTGAGGACAATTCTATGTCATTGACAAAATCTCTTACTTTATATGATTTTCGTGAATGGTTGTTTGTGGACATTTAAATACCTGGGAAGGATTTGTTTAACAGAGGACGGAAAGAGCGACACTGAGATCCGAAGGCATTCTGGGATAGCAAAGGAAGCATTCCAAAAGATAAGCAGTTTATTAAGAAATAGAAAAAAATTAGCTAGAAACAATGAAAACAAGACTAAACTGCTACGTGGTATATCTCTTCCTGTATGGCAGTGAATACTGGACGATCTTCTCAAATATGAAGAAGAGACTTGAAGAAACAGAAATGTGTTTCTACAGAAGGATGCTGAGGATACCCTAGATCGAACATGTTAGTAACGACGAAGTTTTAGAGAAAATGGTAACAAAATGGAAATACTTAACATCAGGAAGAGACAGTTAAGGTTTCTAGGCCATATAATGAGGAAGGAGGGTTTGGAAAATCTGATACTCACAGGACAGATAAAGAGCAAGAGGGACAAAGGAAGACAACTCGTAACATACTTGATGTGTTTGAGTAAATCGATGAAGGAACAGGGCTTGGTAGAAATAACTAAAGGTCAAGGCTTATTTAGAGCTACAAGGTACAGGAAGTTGTGGAGAGCCATGATTGCCCACGTCCTGAAGGGACACGCCACCTACAGAAGAATAAGAATGTTTAGTAGATTTGTCCCGTTTAAGTTCCAAGAATAGCTAGTTATCATTCTTTTATACCGTGATACCTTTCTTCAAGAACTTTCATGTCCTAGTAGAATCTTTCACGTTGCTCATCACTAACATCACCCAAATTAAATTATAGCATTGACAAATTTCAGTTTCTATCACAAATGCTTGATGTAAACTTTTTAAAGTGATTATATCCTAAGGACTTTTTATTGTTTCCTTTCATAACTTAGAATACAATAACACTATCTTTATTATCATGAATTATATCCAAGAGATATACCGTTTCCACTTAAAACAATACAATTAGACTGTCAATATCATTATCCTCAGGTAGTATCATAATATAAAAATCAGGTGTTTTAGCAATCAGGAATTCAATAATATTCAGGTTTTTTTGAATGAGGCATTTAGAATTTATTTGAACGTTATGGAAAATTTGCCTATAAATATTCACTTTTTTTAAATACTCAATTTCTACATAGCAAAATGTCAATATAACCAGTAAAAACTACCTTTTCGTCCTAAAATTAGCTAAGAAAATGTTTAAACTAATTTGCACTAAAACATGTATAGCTTGAATATCTAAAATTAGTTTGGTTGAATTGTTTAGCGACAAATCAACACCCCTATGGGTTATTAAATGCCAAAATCTAATTATTTTGGACACACATTTTTTGCTTGAACTAAATATTATTTGAACGCAATTGTATGTCTTCAACTACAGATAAAATGCATTGTTGTCATTTTGCAATAAATATGTATTGCCGATAATTTCTTTATACAAAAATTCATTCCTGGTGTTTTTTTCCACAAAAATGCACTTTGACACTTTCATAGTACCTTGTTTTTGGTTGGCGTTTCATTATTTCTTCATAGCTGGGATCCTAACAGGTGCTAAGAAACTCGGGTCGGTGTGGAGCTGGGGACAACAATTATTAAGAGGTGGTTCCATGCTCCTCAAATCCTCTAATTTCCTGGTCAGAGGCCTTGCTGTCGGATGTAGTTTATCGTCATACCCTGGACTATCTAAATTTCGTCGCTGAGAGAATCCGCTGACTCTATGAACAGCCGACAAGAACTTCTTTTAAACGCGATGTGTCTTTTGATTTTAAAGATAAATAAATAAATAAGTAAATAAATAAATAAAAAAAAAAAACACAATAACTAAATAAGAAAAAAATATTAAATAAAGGCAAGATGTTTGTATAGTTCTATCTTAACTCTGGTAGCTCTAAGTTTAAAACTGCTATTTTCGCGATCACAGGTACACAAAATTTGTTGGTCTTTTGGACTTGTGTTTATTTGAAATGAAATTTTCTTAGTTACTTTTATGGTCCGACGAACCTTAAAACATCCTCGCCGAGACGGGTTAGGTATGTGAGTGGGTGAGCTTCATAATTATACCTTTTCTCCTATATCTTACTTTTTGCACACCCATATCTCTCTCTCTCTCTCTCTCTCTCTCTCTCTCTCTCTCTCTCTCGTCTGTCCCAAAGATAATGGAGTCACCATAAAAGATTCTCCTCAAATAAATTCATTAGAACGATACAACAGACAATGTTATTCCAATCATCATATACAAGAGAAAGTGATGAAACAATTACGATCGGGCGAGCTGGAAAATTAATTCAGCATTTAAAAAAATAGAGGAATGAATAAGTATATAAATAAAAATACAATAATGAAGAAGCAAAGTTTATAATTTTTTTTTTTTTTAAAAGAAATCACATGGCAGAACGAACCTAGAAACATAGACTTTATGAATTTTAGCACACAATTAGTTTGGCGGTAAGTCTTCATCAGTTTACAGTTGAAATATAAGTAATGTAAGTTCTATGCTAACAGTTTCTACAATAGTCCTTCTGGCTTGTGGAAATCTCTTCCAGTCAACTTTGGTTTTCAAAAATATAAATGCAATACCAATCGTTATCTTCTGTTGTACGCTCCAGCCTTCTTCAGGTGTTTGGAATTTCGAAACAAACCCTTTGTTTCGTCCCCCATCCCTGGTAGATTGTTCTAGTTCCACGTGCCATGCCTCTTCCAGATGTCTCAGTTATTTCCCTTTTAACTCAACTCTCTAAGTTTTGGTTCACCACTGGTGTGGCCTGGTATTGAACTCACAACTCTTTGGGTCTAGTGACTAGATCTAACTAACGCCATTATCCACTGAGCCATGTGTCTTTGCTATCGTTGCATAAGTTACTCAAACTTTCCTCCTTCTTCTCTTATAGTTATGTATTGTGATTGTTAAATTCTCTAAGCCTCCTTTTTTCTTTACGTGTCCCTGAAATTTCAGCTCTTTCTTTGTGATTGTATGTGTTCGTTCCATTTTTCCCCAAGAATTCCTTTTTGATGACATATTCAGTCTATCTTATCCTCTACATTCATCGATAGAACCTTGCTTCAAGTCTCTTCTTTATTTGTTAAAGGATTCACTGCTTCATAGGAGAGTTTGGTAAAGATTCCTTAAACCTAAAGAGAAAATTATCTGGAAACATTTCAACAGACGTTAAGCGTATCATCGACTATCCATAGCTTTCGAGTTCTGCGAAATGGCGGTTGAATTTTTCCGTCTTTAACATGAAGTGAATGTTTTAGAAGGACAAATAATAGCTGGTAAGTCAAACATCAGCGGCCTGTGACTTAAGACGTAAAAGAAACGAATAAAAACCTTCTACAGTACTTTAAAAAGCAAGAGAAGAAGAGAAAAACATACAATTTATTATTGTCGGTTACTGATATGCAAAGACAAGAACAATAATGAAAAAGGGACAAAAGTCTCCTCCACTTCACCTGTATAAAAACAGCCGACCCGCAAAATATTTTCTTGAATCTGGTGTCGTTTTAGTACCCTGTAGTTTGTCTTTTATTTCGATTTTATTTTATTACTAGAATAACTTAGAAGAATGATTTAGGTTCTAAGATAATCCTTATCAGGATCGCAAAAGCATCAAGGACGGCAAAGATACTTCTTCAAACAACTCAACATGGAAAGGACTTCATCGGGAATCAACATAATATTACTGCTGTCATCAAACAATCACAGGCACACAGCATCTGGTGTCGTTTTAGTCCCATTGAAATCGAACGCGGAACACGTTCTCTCCCCTCTTTCACTTTACTTGTTCTGGGTAAAACAAATGATTTTCGGACAGTAAAAAAGTTTCTTATGTTAATAGAAAGCGAACCATCACTACAATTATTACAAACTGTAGTTGATCTTTTACTTCTTCAAACAACTCAGCATCGAAAGGACTTTATGTTAACCATGTTTGCCGTAGTCTTTGAATATAGAATCCAGTGAAGTCCGTAATGTATTCAATATCAGAGGTTGGTAGTGAAGATTCGGAGAAAGTAGCAGCTGTTAAGTAATTCTTTAAGTCTTCGATATCAGAGGTCGGCAGGGAAGAAAAAACAAAATGGCTGCCTTTATACACGTCGGATTGAATATTTTGAGCTTTCTGATTGGTTAACCCTTCTATTGGTGAACTATAAAATGAGTCAGCTCATTTTGGTTGGCTCACTAGTACAGACATGTATCCAAAAGCTGTAACACTTTATCGGTAATCGACATATTGTTACTGCCGTCATCGAACAATCACGGACAAAAAGTTACCGCCCATGAGACTTACCCTAACAACAACAGTTTAGGAGAGATAGCAAAAAGACAAAATGTACTAAGAGCTAGAAAGGATTGGAAGTTATGGAGAGCCGTGATCTTCAAGGTTCTGAAAGAGGAGTGACAAGAAGAATAGTAGACGTCTCAATTTAAAAAGGTTTACGGTTATATGACGTTCAAGCATTGGTTTTCGTACGCTCACCGAAGTTAAGCAACGTCGAGCCTGGTCAGTATCGAAATTGTTGGGAATACAAGGTTCTGTAAGTTTGAATGTACGGAATTGGAAATCGGAGAGCCAAGTTCCAATTCCAGTCACACAACTACCCTTTGGAAAAATATGAATCTAAATATTCTCCCGCAAGCTATGCGTTTATGAGTAGGATTTATATCAGTAAATCATTCTCATCTGCTAAGAATTCTTAAAATCTAAAACATTTTCTGGCTTTAAATAACATGCTAATGGCTGATGAACTAAAAAAAAATCAAATGTTTAAAGGAGAAGTCGTTGACTTAAAGTTCTGTATTAGACGACACGGAGAAGCACGATCATGGGATAAATATTCTCTCTCCCCTACGTCTGTCTGTCTGTCTGTCCATCTCTTTCGAGGCCCGTTTACTCCAGTTATAGTTGATGGAACCGCCACATCAACAATCAAGGCGTTGCTGCTACGGTTTCTTTTGTTTGTTTGTTTTTTAACTGAATGATTTTGTTAGACCCATGTCCAACCAGTTTTCTTTCTTCTTGACTGGTTGCCATCCAAGGCTGGAGAGCTCATGTTGCCCCACTATTTAACCCATACTAAGCGAAGCTCACCGATTTCTCTTTGCAAGCTGCTAACAATTACAACACCCGTGTATACTGGTTTAAATATTATCTAGTTTAAAAAAGAAAAACAAAATATTACTGTTATGATTACAATCCTCTATGATTGAAACACATATGTCCTTGTGCCAAACTTGATGCTATGAACGGAATATATTTTACGTAAATTCATTCAGCAGTTCCTGTTTATATAAAGAAAAATATTTCTATTTAAAAATTAACGAAAAAAATTAAATAAGGCAAAACTACTTAATAATTTAAAATTAATTTACCAAGTTAAACATACGTTGAAATTCAGTTAATTTTTATGAATAAATATGCAATGTCTGCGCACAAAAATTATATTTATGTTTTTAATAGAAATTTTAATTTCAGTAAAGTTAATAAACAGTTTTGAAAATTAATAATAAATTCAATGAATAGCATCGACAAACATGATTCTTGTAATTGTGGGATAATTTTTCTTCGATTGCAATCAATACATTTGTTGATGCATTTCAGCTTCTCAAAGATGAGCATTATTTTATGTTCTGAAAAATTGGAGATGCCAATAACTTAATGGCTGATGACACCGAAAATATAATCAACGGGCAGGGTTCAAATGCTGGTTGAGACAGCCTGTATTCACTTCACACTGAACGTCATTGGTATAGAAAAAAAAACACTTCTTGCTACCAGCTGTTACACTTTTTTCTTTAATCATTTCACATGAAGTGAAGCAATAAAGCCACAAAGGCACAAGCGGTTACTGAGTGTTAAAGAATAAGAAAAAAATATGACATTATTACGGAGCAAGAACAATAAAAGACGAGGAATGATAACGGCAGTAGATCAAATGTTAGCTGGAAAGAAAAGAAACCAGAAGAAAGTTCCACAGGCGAGAAGTGCTAGAAAGAGTTGGATTTTAGCAACCAGTCTAGGAGAAGGAGAATTTAGATTTCAAGCAAAAGGTGCAGACATGTAATGTTGCAAAAAATATTCGGAATATATCAGGTCATCCCATAAGTTCTGTCCGAATTTTAACTTTTTGTTAAAATGAAAAAAATTTAAAGAGTATTCTATAATGTCTAATGGAGCTGAACATTATTTTTATGTTTAGATGCATTTAAACTGATCAAATTGTATTTCAGAGAACAATAAAATTAAATTTTGTTTGATTAAGACCCTGCTAACATGGAAGTACGCAAGAATCATTTGAGACACATAATGCTTTATGAGTTCAAAAAAGGAAACTCAGCAGCCGAAGCGGCTAGAAACATTCACTCAGTTTATGGAGAGGAATGTGTGAATAAAAGAACTTGCAGAAGATGGTTTGCAAAATTCAGAGGTGGAGATTTCACCCTTGAAGATGAAGATCGAACCGGACGTCCAGTTGAGTTTGATGAAAAGCTTCTTGAAGCAGCCCTTGAAGAAAATCCTGCTTTATCAGTTGAGGAATTGGCAGTGTTTTTCAGTTCAAACCATACAACTGTTCATCGCCATCTTCAACAACTTGGAAAAGTTCCTAAACTTAGAAAATGGGTACCTCATGAATTGTCTGAAGACAACCTCAAATCCCGAGTTGACATCCGCTCTTCTCTCCATTCTCGCCAACTTGTTTCACCTTTTTTGGATAGACTTGTGACTGGCGACGAAAAATGGATCTTTTATCGAAATGTTAAGCGTCGTAGACAGTGGCTTGGTAAAGGGGAAAGACCCCAGCCACAGCCGAGAAGGGAACTTCATGGGCAAAATGTTCTTTCAATCTGGTGGGATCGCCAAGGAATAAAGAGGCTCGGAGCGATAGAATTAGAATCCTACAGACATATGCTAAGAATATCATGGAGAGTGTAAATAAATAAAAAAAAACAACACTTCTACTTAAATTCAGAAAGAGTTGAAATTTATGGGATACAATTTGAAGAAGGACTGACTAAAAAATTAAATATTCACAGGATGTAGTAATGGCGAGAAGTAAAGAAAAGCGGAGAAACTAATGTGTTCGTGTGAATAAATGACAGGGCAAAGAGCACAAAAGATTGCAAAGTGTTTAATATTGCTTAGAGCAACAAGGGACACGAAGTTGTGGAGAGCCATGGTCGCCCCATTTTGAAGATACAGGGCTCTTAGAGATGATAATAATTACTATAATAACTTTTTTCTTGATGGATTGGTGAATTCTTTAAGTTTGGATAAGAGATTATATATATGAACAACAATTTTACTTAAGTATCTGTCTATATTTCTGAGATGAGGTATTATGTACACTATTTACATTATTCGGACTATTGTCCTCATCTTTGTCGCCATATTTATTACAACGTCTCGACCTTTCAGTATCTGTCTATATTTCTGAGATGAAGTATTATGTACATTATTTACATTATTCGGACTATTGTCCTCATCTTTGTCGCCATATTTATTACAACGTCTCGACCTTTCAGTATCTGTCTATATTTCTGAGATGAAGTATTATGTACACTATTTACATTATTCGGACTATTGTTCTCATCTTTGTCGCTTTTTTTATCACAACATTTCGGCCTTTAAGTATGTGTCTATATTTCTGAGATATGGTATTATGTACATTATGAACATTATTCGGACTATTGTCCTCATCTTTGTCGCCATATATATTACAACGTTTCGGCAGTTGTACGCTCAGACCTTCTTCAGGTGGTGGGAATATCGAACTGAACCCTTTATTTCGCTCACATGGCACAGTGGATAAAAGCTTTCGTTAGATCCAGTGGCAGGACCAAACGGGTATGAGTTCAATACCCGGTTAAGGCAGTGGAGAACTTGCAGAGGGGAATTAACAGGAGATAACTGATAACTGACATCCATCAAAACATGGCACGTGGAACTAGAACAGTCTAACCCAGTGAGCGAAATAAAGGGTTCAGTTCAACATTCCAACCACCTGAAGAATGCCGGAGCGTACAACGTCCGAAACGTTGTAATAAATATGGCGACGAAGATGAGGACAATAATCCGAATAATGTAAATAGTGAACTTTACTTAACCAAAACTGTTTAATGTAAGAAAACGATGTCTCATCTTGTGTGATTCGGGAATGAACATATGTGAAAGACTACAATGTGAGAGAAAGAGCATTTCAAGGTGAAAATAAATGTTATAGATTTTCTTTTTAGGTGTTTTCACATTCAATCAGTTGTTTTGCATAAAAGTGTAGTTCAGGAGATAATTGCCTAATCCTGTAAACAGTGTTGCTTTTGAAGATTATGGAGTGACAGAATAGGAGAGCTATGTGTGATACTATTAATCATTGCAAAAATACTGGTCACACAAATTCATGTCAGTCGAAAGTAAACGAATGTATCAAAGCAAAAAAAATATTTAGACAGTTTTTTAACAATTTCAATCCCGAAATAAAACGTATCAGCTGTAAATTGGAAAGACAATATGAAAGGTTGAATAGACAGACCTTGACAGTATTATATAATAAAACCTACTTGGGTTCATCCATTTTACCTAAATACCACTATATATATATATATATATATATATATATATATATATATATATATTATTGGATATTATATTCGAACATATGTAAAACCGCTACATAAATGCATTCATGTTTCGATGCATACCATCGCATCACATCTGGCGGTGGTAAATTAGGGTTAATACAATTTTTAATATTTACTTAAAAACAAATAGTTTTTCCCGGGAAAAGGCAAAAGATGTAATCGATAAAGGAGTAAAGAAAGAAATACAAAAAATAGTTTCATCTAAAATAGAGAAACAAGAGAATAAAGAAAATAAGAAGAGCGAGAAGGAAAGAAAGACAAAAGATCTAATCTTTTCTCCAAAGGAAAATAAGAAGAGAGAAAGATAAATATAAGGATGATATAGAAATGTAAAGAAGCTAGACAAGATATGTCGATAATCAGTTCAACCAATCAAAAATAGTTTATGTTAAGTAAGTGAAATTAATGTGGTGAACATTTGAATTTATATTTGATTCGTTCTTATTTCATTTGCGGTTTTACATATGTTGGAATGTAATATCCGATAATAAAGAATTACCTCTCTACTCTTGCATTGAGCCTTATTCATTATATATATATATATATATATATATATATATATATATATATATATATATATATATATCGTGGACTCTCCGTAGTAGATCGACCATTTTACGACGTATGAGGGTCAGGCAGCTCAGTTCCTAGGAACCGACAGCCAGTCAAACTGCACACATTATTTGATTATAGTGGCGAACCTTTTGTGCAGAAGCAACCACACTTTTTGAAGATGCAAACACAGTGACCTGGTGCACATTGGGCCACAAGGTCCTCAAACGACCCTCCGCCGGTTTTGAATTGTCCTTCTCCTACACCCGTTGCCCTTCAAGGCTATAGAATCCGGTCTCTCCTGCGATTTACCCATAGTGGAGAGAAGGAGAGGATCTATACCTTAATCAAAGGTATTAGCCCATAAGTGAATGTAATCGATTCGACTGAAATTCGAATACGGCTCTACGATTCCTCAATTCCTCCCTATATATGTATGTGTGCGTGTGTGCGTGTGTGTGTGTGTTTGTATGCGCGGTATTTAGTAGAAAGTGTTCAATATTTGTGACAGAGCTAATATATGTGGTTCCATAGATAGTAGTCTGTAAATCCGGGTTTCACGCTTTTTTGATCTTCAGAAAAGCGTGAAATCCGGATTTACAAACTACTACAAACTAGTTTATTTTTTTCAAAAGTTGAATCTATTTAGGCTTTATTTGGGTTTGATTATTTGTGTTTTGTGGTGCGAGAAAATTACTTCTCTGTTTGTTTGGGATGACACTCGCATATACAGAGGCACACATGTATACAGGCGTATGCCTGTTAGTTCGTACATACACACACAATATCCATAA